GCTCTCTCTCCCAGTAAAACTAGCTCATTGATCCACAGGTTGGTGCTGGTGGTGCTGTTGGTGTCACTGGGAGGCTGGAGGAGCTCCTCACTCTGACCCACACACACACATTTAACATTTAATCTCATTGAAATACGCTTTATTTACATCAAAGTGACGGCTCACCTCCTGAGAGGAGTCCACCTGCTCCACAGCCTGCAGGATAAGACATAACACACGTCATGACATCACATATTGTAGCACAGTAAGAGTGACGACATTTGTTTACGGAGCTGAGTGTGTGTGTGTTACCGTGTTCTCCAGGTTCTGCCGTTCTCGCACCATTTGTGGACCCTGCAAACATCAACCAAATGGACTGATTCAGTCACTCTGTCCTTAATAACCACAGCTGATTGGTCACATGGCACAGTGACGCTCATTTTAACGCTGCAGTTTCTCTTTCTTTTAATCTACAAGGTAAAAAACTACAAATAAGAAAAAACTCAGCACGTGTCAGGATGTAATGACTGCAGATGGAGGACATATTATAAAATTTTTTCTGATGGCTATTATAAAACTCCGTTCAGTTTTTACCAAATTAAAGATTTTACCAGACTCTAACCTCAAAGCTGCAAATAGACTCAGAGTATACAGTGAGATTGTGTTGTAACTCAGGTCACCTCTGAACTCTGGCTTGACTCCGAGGAAACTGATGAAGAGGAGGAGGAGGAGGAAGTGATCTTCTGAGCGGGGTCAGGAGGGGCCGAAGGCTGCAGACACACAGTGATGTTAGAAACTGAAGACTTAAGATGAAGATGCTTTAATGTAAGGAAGGCAGTAGGGTTTCATCTGGATACACATGTTACAGCGTGTGTGGGAAACACAAGGCTCAGGCTGAAGAAATAGCTGCATCAATATCTGCCTGAAGAAAACACCTCAAAATACAAGTTTACTACAACTCTGATGGAGTCTGCTGCTCTAGCTGTAGCCACATAGAACTGAGAGTACTCTGTGTACTTGTACTGCACTGACTCACTGCTGTTTGGTCCACTTGGCTCTGCAGGAGAAGCTGAAGGCTCTGGAGGTCTCCTGGAAGCTGCAGACAAAAACAAACACGTCTCAGAGTCACAGATGAGCCTCATGTCTCATGAACTGACCAGTATGAGCCAGCCTTACTGGCGCAGCCTGGTTCTGATCCAGCAGGCTGACGATCATCAGAAGCAGCCACATCGTAACAAGCTCTCGGGGCGGTCCTGGAGGTCCGGGGTAATCCTGGTCCTGTGGGGGGTCCTGCAGGTTCTGACCGAGTCTTGCTCTGCTCCGTCTGTTTTATTGCGTGTTTGGCAGGAAGTGTCATGTCATCATGTCGCCCTCAGTCCCTGCCCCCCTCCCACGGATGTTACGCCCATCAAGGGAAACATCAACAACAACAACAGGCTGATTTATACTGGCAGGGAGTGTCTCTGTGTGTGAGAGCAAGTGTTCACTGCAGTAAGGGTGTGATGTGAAAGCAGTCATGCAGATGTTTTATTGTTTCTTCTGATGGAAGCAGCTGTTTAACATGGCGAAGCTCAAAGTGCTTCCATCCTGCTTTAATGGGGAGAAATCAAACCTCAGGACACATTTGGATGTTTGTGGTTC